CGAGACACCTCTAGCTTTAGGTTTTCTTGCCATGCTGCGGACGCAAGCTTCAGATGAAGAAGTGAATGATGTGTGCGCCTATTTATACTTCAGTCGCACCGATAGTGACGTCATGGCTGTCGCCGGCCAACGACAAAATTGGTGTTTTTTCAATGTATGCTTCAGACACGGGTCACGACGAGGCGTTCCCCATAGCGACCCCTAGAGGACGCAGTGTCTCGTTCCCTACTCAGGGAACCATGGTTACACAAGTAACCTGAGACGTTATCAATGAATAACATCCTATATTTCAGTCCGTTCCTTAGAGAAAGCTTTCAGATGACTAAGATTACACTGCACATGACGCATGAGCTACTTTTTTTTTGGCCTTTTTGAAGACAGCCTTGGTCACTATGAAAAGTCGTATGGAAAAAAGTTGCAAAAATATCAATTTAAATTCAAAGTAATATTGTAAACAAGTAATGTCAAAGTAGTATTTGTTTATTTCTTTTGGTAAACTATTCCTTTAATGTTCTTAATGAATTTTAAGATGAAATTTGTAATCGTTAAGCAACACAAAATTTTATTTAGTAATTTTTACAGTCTCCAGCTGCAGGCTCAGGAGCCCATCCCCGAGACAGCCACTTATGGAGCCTCGCGGCCGTACCGAGAAAGCCCCTTGCTGGCCCGTGCTCGACACACCGAGAGCTTCCACAGCTACAGAGACTTCCACTGCTTAAACCTGACCAAGGCCCTGCTGGAGAACCACGGACAGTGCGGATCCATGGAGGATGAGATGCACCATTCAGCGGGAGAGAACAACGCTGAGGACCTCGACAAAAGGAACTCTACCATGGATCTTTGGGGGTCCAGATCATCTGAAACCCAGTCTTCAGCTGCACGCAAACCCCCAGACAGCCCAGGAGACCAGCAGCGAAGGGCCCATTTGATGGAGGAAGCGACTGCAGACCCTAGACCAGATGGGGGCAGGAGGAGAGGGGCATTTGAAGCAAATTTTCTAAGCAGGAAAAAGGCCCCCCCAGTTCCACAACTGAGCCCCCCACCGGCAGGAGCTGATGGAGGCAGCAGCGACTCGTCCAGCACCGCCTCACCCTCGCCAACTAAAGTGTCCACATCCCCACGCCATCGCAAGGCTCCTGACGCTGCATGTGAGTGATGGTTCACACAGATTTGTCCTATGCAGAGCTCGTACCAAATACAATAATCAATGACAGGGAAAAGAAAGTAGTTGAATGGATGACTTCAAAAGTGAAGCGTTTCAGAATGTAGATGCGAAGGTTTGGCAGGATGCAAGCTGGCAGCTAAAAAAGAAACCTCACTCACTGTGGACAGATTTAAAGGGAAAATACACAGCATAAATATGTCAGTTTCACATGTCTGTTAACCGGTTGAAAGAAGTTATTAAGCTTTTGTCAGACTGATGACGCTTCCACAATATGGACCTAATCCTCTCTTCACTGATTTTTCCAAGCTTAAATATGAGATACATTTACTTTTCATTCCTTTGAGAAAATTAACAAAGAGTGACTAGATTAATTATTCAGCCAGTTAGACTTTAGCTTTGTACACCTGTGCCTTTACTAAACATTTTTATTGTTTTTGTCCATTAAAGGGATAGTCCATCCTAAAATGAAAACGTGAAGAAAATTTGAATGAAGAATTTACTCACCCTCATGTCATTTAAAACCCACAGGACTTTCTTTTGTGGATCAGCAAAGGAAAAGTTTAACAGAATGTTTTGCTGCTCTCTTCTATACAATGAAGGTGGATTTAATACTTTATATTCAGAGCTCTGAGTAATAGAATTAAATGTATGTTACTATTGATAATCTTTTCTTGATAATCCTTCTTGACATTTGCTTTCATTGTATAGTAAAGATCAGTTTGACTACTTTCGTGTTCCATGAAAGAAAAAAAAATCATACAGGGGTTGAAAGACTTTTCAGATTTTGAGTGGATTATTGCTTAAATGGTTTGCTTTTCTTTTGTAAATGAAGTTGCTTTTTTAAAAAGTAGATTAGCATGCTGATGCTACTGGCCACTAACAGTACCTCCAAAACACTGTGATGCACTTTATTGTCTGTACTTACATTGAATGGACTGAACAGATGAACTTTAATGATCAGGTTTGACTCCACTGCTGTCGTGAAGGCAGCAGGAATCAGCAGCCTTTGACAGAATCTCTTTCTTTCTTCATTAATCCTTTCAGACGGGTTGCGCTCTCTGAACTTTCAGCATGCATCCGCAGGGGATTTTTACTTGCTCTATCCATCTTTGGGATTTATTCAGTGCCTTTTGCTAATTTGGATAGATACTGCTGTGAGAAATCGAAACTGATTTAGCTTTTTTTCTCTTTCTGATGTGCGAGTTAGTTGGATTATCACATTATGCAACTGATTTAAGTGAAGCGGATTCAGTTCAACTCCCAGAATAAGACACTTACCAAGATGAGAAAAAGAAAAAAGAAAAGAAATTAAAAGAAAAGGTATATTTTACAGTTGCCAGATTTAAAGGTAATAATATACAAATAAAAATAGAAAAAAATGATTTTATTTTAATCATTTATTTTATTTATTAAAATGAGCTCTGTATTTAAAATGCTACAATACAAACTTCTAATGTCTAAATAATCTAAATAATTAATCAACATGTGAATAATGTCATCATAACGTGTAATTTTATCATTTGCATTTTCACTTCTGTTAAGAATATACTGTCAAGAATTATTTATATTTGACATGAAGCTAATTTTGCATTCAACTGATGAGCATGGTCACTTTCTTTCCAGCCATTCCACTTTGTGTACAGGTTATATCCTGCCAGAGAAAATGTACAGTATATAGTGATTATTATTTTAATGGTAACTAAATGGAATCCTTTAACAAAGTACTTTATATAAAGGAAATGAGATCGTATTAATGCTATGCAATCAGTGTTAGTGCTGACAGTAGGCTACATAGCCTGAAACTAAATCATGAATAACAGAAATGAATAGCAGAAAGTTATTTGGACAACAGCATGAAGCTAGAAAAATAAATTCAAATAAATAAAACAATAAAAATAATTACCCCTTGGAAGATCTGCGTGGTTCATTTCTCAAAATGATGTTGCATAAAATACTATAAAATGCTTCCAATTGACTTTTTAAAATGTCCTTTGTTGCTATGACTGGTTTGCTCCTAGGTGTAGTGATCTTGGTATCAAAATGGTATCAAGATATGCATATTAATTAATTAAATGCATATTACTTAATCAGCTACTTATGTCATTTATTTGCTCTCTGAGATGTTTCAGTGTTGGGGAATATTTAATGGACAAGAGTATGATTCTTTATGCTTGCTTTCAGAAATACAGTCACAAGCTGATTTGTGTTTTCAGTCTGGTTACTGTATGATTTCATCTCCAGACAAGAGACCTTATCATTTCAATATGCAGAATAGTTATGTTTTATCAAACAAGACTTGCTTACCTGCTGCACAGATCATGACATGGCTACAAGAAGAAAGTTTGTTACTTGAAATATGGGGAAAAAAATTGAATATGGTACATGCACTACAGATCGGTACTCAGCTTCTGTACATTTCCAGTGGCACAATAAAGTAACCAAACAGAGCTGCGTCTCAGACTATTTGATTTTGTTTTAATAAGCATGGAAACATCAACATTACAAACACAACTTTTACATTTCACAACTCTATAGCAACGATTGTCCATAAATGAGTGTACGAGACACCATAACTACACAAACCTCTGATTAATCTAGAGTGAGCTCTGTTTAATGGAAAAAATTATTACAAATAAATTATTGCAACAATAAATAATACTGACAATTAAAAAAAAAAGTTCACGTAAAAATGTGTTTTTTAGGATAGTGCCGTTTCATTTTTGCTTATTTCTACGTGAAATAACAACTCGTGTTTAATTAAATATATTCACACTTTACAGGTTTAAAACATCCTCTGATAAAAAAAACACATCCACGTGTAACTGATGACAATATTTGGAGTTGAACATTTAAGACACTTGATCCATTGGCATCATCACAAATGTGCTCACACTATTGTTCAGTCTAGCAGGCACAACACCACATTAGCTAACATTTCCATTAATACAGACAGTCTAGGACATGTCTAATGGATTGACTATCTTCCTCATTCATGTGTCTGTAGGGACAGAAGAGATAGACTTCCTCTCTATGTTGGCATGAATAATTTGGAGACTCAGTTCATTAATACTTTATGATTGTGGTAATATTTCATAGCTACACCGCCCGTCATAAGACTCCATTTAAAGTATTAATAATACAGTGCTATTTTCAGAACAGTTTGCCTCCTCTCTGCATCAGTGCTAAGCACATATTACAGCAAAAGAATCTATGTCCGATAATAACATGTACAAGTATGAAATCAGACTAAACCCTATTAAAAAAATCAAAATTAGTATATGCTGCGTATCCTGTACTGTAAGCCTTCGCCTCCTCTAAAGTACTGATTAGGTATATGCAGCTACATCACACACTTTTTTTTTAGGTGGCACTAGTGGAAGTTCTGGCTCACTTGGTGCCCCCAATGCAGGGTAAGAATAACCAACAGTATGATATTAAATGAGTACAGTAAGATTTGCATAAATTAGTATATAAAATGATTAAATAACAAAATGATTGATGTGATGATTTTTTATATAATATGTGACCCTGGACCACAAAACCAGTCTTAAGTCGCTGGGGTATATTTTTAGCAATAGCCAAAAAAACATTGTATGGGTCAAAATTATCGATTTTTCTTAATAATATTAATAAAATGATTGATGTGATGATGACGATGGACTGAAATGTCATCGTAATGAAAGATTTAAACACTTGTTGTACCTAAAGCAATACTGCAAGATAATTATATATTTGTTTAAATAGAATAGAAGTTTATATTCAAAATCCACCTGGCTCAAAAATTGAGGGGTGCATGTCTGAATGACACTTCTGGGTCAAGGCTTGTGAGTATGAATATAGGCAAGCAGAGACAATGGGTGATACCTTGAAAATATGATATTCAACCAGACTTTTCTTTTAAACTAAATAAAAGAAAAGTATGAGCAGAATGTAATGTAAATAAATAAGTAATTCTAGGATTAAAACGGAAGCAATAAGGTGATGTCAGAGGTAGTCAACACTTAGCTGCAACATATAAATATGCTAATGACATCTCTGACTAATAATAAAAAAAAGAAATTCAGCATTATGAAATACAGCTAATTTCACTGCAATATTTTGTCATGGTCAAACAAACCAAATGAAGATGATCTCCAAACCAATTATTTTATATTTCTATATATATACGGTATTCATTTATAACTATCACCGTCTTATTTTATTGTTGTAAATTTGATATTCACTCAGCTACATAATAGGTTGGAGAAAAACTATATTACCAAGAATGTTTTCCACAGTTGTGTGTGTTTATGATCGCTTTACAAGTGAGTGTCTGTAAACATGGTTTGCTCCTTCTTCACTGAGCTGTAGCTTTTAATCGTCTCCCCAAACTCCTCATCCCCCACATACTGCAAAAAACATAACAGTTATCATCAGCTATGCTCATTCCTTCACCAGGCAAACTAAATAGACTGTTGGTACACATCAGGAATGTTTATAAAAGTAAATATACAGAAGTTGTTTGCAACATTTGGACTTTTGACATGATTGTGATTGGTCATTTGTGGCATTCTATTTTACTAAATATTCATGTATAATGTCCACTGAACTATAAATGGCCATTGTCCATGAAAACCATTTTCCCACACTACCATTCAAAAGTCAGTAAGATTTTTTGAAAGACATTTCTTATGTTCACCAAGTCTGCATTTAATTAATCAAAAATACAGTAAAAACAGTAATATTATGAAATTTTATTACAGTTTAAAATAAATGCATTCCATTTTAATACATTTTAAAATGTAATTTATTCCTGTAATGCAAAACTGATAAGTCATTTCTCCAGTCTTCAGTGTCACATCATCCTTCAGAAATCATTCTAATATGCTGATTTGCTGCTCAATGTTGAATAAAAAGTTGTGTATCTTAATATTTTTTTCTGAAATTTGTAATACAAGATTCTAGTATATGAATAGAAAGTTCAAAAGAACAGCATTTATTGTCTTTACTGTCACTTTGATCAACTGCATCCTTGCTGAATAAAAGTATAATAAAAAAATAAAAAAACTCTTGAACAGTAGTGTACATATCTCTTTTATCACTCTGTATAATGTAATATTTTATCTCAAATAAACATCATATCCATTTATTTATTTACTTGTAAAGTTAGAACCCCTTTAAGGGCAACACAAGGCCTCTCCACATCACTTTTTATTGTTTTTACTCACAGTAATGACTGACTGTACACTAACCCTTATAACAAAAATTCTACATCATCTCACCATGCCGCTGTCAGTGCCGTGCAGGTCAGCGTCCCATGCTCCACCGCCCAGAGATTTCTTATCCTGCGTGTCGATCAGCTGACTAACACTCCGATGCAAGGAATTCTGGGAATAGGCATGGCTGAGCTGGCTCTGGCTGGGAACACGCAGTACAGACATGCTAGCCTGATAGCTATGGTTGCTGGTGCCGATCTTAGTGTCAGTCAAACCCTGATCATGAAAACACACGATATCAATATAAAGCACAAATACACACATAACTGCACACTCAGTCTGTCAATCACATGTAGCAGAGACAGTCACTTCCAACTGATGAGCAAATGTCAACAATAAGCCACTAAATGAGAAGGGTTGTGCATTAATAAACACTGCAACCACTGCATGCAGTGCCACTCGACAGCAAAACAAACCCCAAAGCATAATGGAAAGTGAATGCAATCTCTAATAAGAATAGTAACGCAGATTAAAAAAAAGAAACTTTTGTATATTTTTGAATAAAAATGGAGGGAGGTGCTTGAACGTGCAAATGGAACAAAAGACATTCGTGTCTATAGCACAAAAACGTACACAAGTATTTGTAATTAGTATTAGAAACCGTAATAGTGACAGTTGCCTTGGCAAGTACCACTAATGAGGAAAAGGGCAAAACATGCCAATGCAGCAGGCCATAATCTATTCTGAAATACATCCCAGAGAGCCTGTACCTCAGTGTGCATGGCAAAATGCTTTAGTGTTATACTGCAGGAGGAGTCCGGTATATTGTCAAACTGGGAAGAGAAGAAAGAGAGGAGTGGGCTTACCATGGGTGCATCAGGCTGAAGCAGAGCAGTAGAAGCATGGTTAGAGCAGAGTTCAGAGGAAGGTCTCTGGAGCAGCAAGAACAGCGCAGGACAGAGAGAGTTAAAAAGACACACAGCAGATTTAAAGAGAAAGGCCACAGTTTAAAGGGATAGTTCACCCAAAAATCTAAATTTGAAAATCTGAGAATGGTCTCATTCTCAGGCCATCCAAGACGTAGATGAGTTTGTTTCTTTATCAGAACAGATTTGAAGAAATGTAGCATTACATCAGTTCACAGTTAATTGATGGACTGGAGCCGTGTGGATTATTGTGATGTTTTTATCAGCTGTTTGGACTCTCATTCTTACGGCACCCATTCACTGCAGAGGATCCACTGGTGAGCAAGTGATGAAATGCAATGAAATTTCTCCAGATCTGTTCTGATGAAGAAAAGAAAACTCATCTACATCTTGGATGGCCTGAGGGATTTTAAGTCAATTTTAAATTTTGGGTGAACTATTCCTTAAAAGGTTGGGAGTGTTTATCTGGCTCTTAGCAACCAGACAGCAGCCAAGTTCAAATTTATTTGATCAATCTTTACAGAAAAAAACAGTGAAATATTATTATATTTTCTATTTTAATACATAAAAAAAAAAAAAAAATATTTTCGTGATGGCAAAGCTGAATTTTCAGCAGCCATTACTCCAGTCTTCAGTGTCACATGATCCTTCAGAAATCATTCTAATATGCTGATTTGGTGCAACAAGAAACATTTCTTACTATTATGAATTTTAACAAATTTTGTGGAAACTGTGATGCATTTTTTTCAGGATTCTATGATGAATAGAAAGAATCTTTTGTAACTATAAATGTTTTACTGTCACTTTTGATCAATGAAATACTTTTATTCAGGATATATACATTTCTAAAAAAAAAAAAAAAAAAAAATCTTACTGACCCTATACTCTTGAATGGTAGTGTATAAATAGTAAGAGTAATATGCTAATCTGAACAATCATTGCCTTTATGACTATGACATTGCCATACAATTGCAGTAGGAAGAGCAGTGTTATCACTCCCTCTTCTGGACATCTGAAGGAAGTGCATGATGCAGCTTTGAGTGCAAACATTTGTGCAAGCATAATTGAGAATGAAAAAAAAAAGGAGTAATCTTTTGTATTTCACCTCTAAAAAAATGGTAGAACAAGTTAGAGCAAGCTTTACAGACCTAGTTAATTACCATTAGAAAATAATTTTCTCTCACCAGATAGGTGTCATTAGGCGGATACTTGGTACTTCTCCTCTGAAGGGGCACTATTGTAGGTCTCTCCCTGATGAAGGGGGGCTTGCTTAGGGCTCTTCTCAGCACCAGACCCATTAACAGAGCCAGCAGCAGCAGCCCCAGGAATGCCATAAGAATGATGAACCACAACTCTGTATAGAACTGGTATTCAGCCCCATTCAAACCTGTTTTACCTCCAGAACTCGACTCCACGGCATCTGTGGGGAACAGATGAGATGCTCAGATAAGAAAAAACCCCACAGAGAATGGATAAAAACATAATACAAATATTATATATATAACTATTTAATCTTAAATGGAAGGAGTTTACCAACTACTCCACAGCTAAGACAACTAGGTTTTACTCTCAATAATACGGAATAAAAAAGTAAATTCTCTTTTATTCATAATTAATAACTGTTTTATTATTAAGAGTAAATTAAGATATGGATTCAAGTATCTCACAACCTTTTACATTTTATTATGTGCACCATATGAGATACGTAAAAAATTGATATATTTAGAAATTTTACATATTACATGGGAATGATCTATTTTTACATAGCATATCTTCAGCGTTTCACCTCATGAAGGTCTGGAGCTTTGAAAGTAGTTAAAATACCTGCAACGAGACAACAAGGGCTGCTACATCCACAGATTTTGCTGTATTCATCCAGTGTGACTTAAACCATTTGTTATATTGAAATTCCTAAAGTGTTTTTTGTGTTTATTTACTCGCCAAAACCAATGGTGTGAAAGGCACTTTGATGAAGATTATGAGTTTGCAACACTGATATTGGCTCTGCTCAGAAAGAATGGAGACACTGCCCGGTCACCTGCCAGGCCGGAGTAAACGTACCTATACCAGTGGCCGTGTTGTATTTAATGACAGGAGAGCTGGCACTGCCGCTGTCAGTGGTGCAGGTAACTTGAAATGCAAAGGCTGAAGAGAAAAGCGACAAAAGAGATGATGAGAGAAGGGCCCAAAGAAAGAGAACCAGTGAGCTTCAAAATAAGACAGGCCCAGTCAGAGGTCAAAGTATAACCATATGGGCATACTTTTATCAGAGGTGCGTGGGATGTGCAGAGAGCTGTGGAAGCCGCTGTAGATGCGCAGGTTGTTCTCGGTTAGGCTGTATTCTCTCAGAGGCCCGTTCAAAGAGAAAGAGCCGCTCCAGTCCACAAACACTGTGGTGATGTTACTGTGCACCACAAATGGCTCTTTATATTGAGGAGCTACAAAGAAATCACAAGAGAGGGGTTTGATTTAAGTGCCATCATTTTTGAAAAAAATATTGGTAAAAGGAATGACTTGTATGGCATTTCTAATTTGTTAGCAACATATAATCAGAGCCAAACGAGAGTCCCGAAGAGAGTCCTTACATTCTTTGAGTGTGGTGATGGAGACCCAGTCAGACGCAGTGCTGCCCATGTTATTGTAAGATACTACACACAGCTCATAGTTGGCATAGGGCAGTAGGCCAGTGATGTTGAAGCTCTGCCCCATTCCAAAGAACTTGATCTCCACAGGGCCGACGACACAGGTTACAGGGACAGGCTGCAGCGGCTGAGGACAGGATGATCGCACGTGGAGCTCACAGCTACAGAGATGAAAGTGAAAGGGACAAATATTTATGCTTTAGTACAACCTTAATACACTACCATTCAAACATTTGGGGTCAGTATGATTTCTTTTTAAAGAAATTAATACTTTTATTCAGCAAGGACAGATTAAACTGATCAAAAGTGACAGCAAAGACTTTTATACTGTTACAAAAAAGGTTTCCACAAAATATTTAGCAGCACAACTCTTTTCAACTTTGATAATAATAAAAGAAAAAAAGAAAAATAAATAAAGTGTCTTGAGCATCAAATCAATGCATTACTGCAAAATGAATTTTGAAGGATCATGTGACACTGAAGACTAGGAATAAATTATATTTGAAAATACATTCAAAAAGAAAACTCGTGTCATAATATCAGTTTGACTTTATTTTGATTAAATAATTGCAGCATCGGTGAGCATAAATTACTTTCAAAAATATTTTTAAAAATCCTGATCTGATCCTGGCACAATATGTAAAATTTTTTTTATTAAACATTATCCACATTACATTAACCCAGATGTTTCGAAGAATGTTTAAATCCAGAGAACTTTTTAAATGTATGCTAAAGTGCACTTCTTTTTCACAAGGGCTGTTTGTGCTTTTCCATGCAATGAATGTAAATGTGTGCTAGGTAAAGGGTGTCAAGATCACATTGGTTGACCAGCACTAAAAGCAGCTCTAACCTAGCATGGAGGAATTCATGATGGTTATATATATATATATATAAAATCGAAAATAATAATTATTATTAGTAAATATAATAGTATATTATTATTAATAAAGTTATAAAATAAAAAAATATAATACAATTGTATTATTATTATTATAACATAGTACACATACATAAAAAACAGTTCAAACTACTTCACAGGTCAGAATGTGCAAAAAACATCATGAAAAATAACAGTAAAAGCATAAAATAAATAAAAACGAGGAAGTGGTGAAAATGGATATAATGACAAAAACAGAAAATGAAAATAATCAAAAACTAACTTACAAAAAAAAAAACCTTTGTATTCATTTTAAAAATGTTAAACTTGGAGCTTGTCTTATTTAAATATTAAAGGGGAAACTCTCCACTGGCCTTTTAATAAAACTTGGTTGTCTATGTAGTAATGATTCCACACTCAGTCACAGCGTCATCAAACTACGCCTTTGTTTCTTTGTTTGTTTTGAATACGCGCCCTCCAGCGGTGAAAACTTACATATTGTACCTTTAATATTTATATCTTAATGGTGAAGTGGGTAATTTTGCTGCTAGTGGCACCAAATGGATTTCCTCAGTCCTGCCCCAAACTCATGCCATTGGTTGTTGTGTTGCTAGGCCAAACTGCTCAAATGAACAGGGCAATATTTTGATGATTTTAATACTTGAGAAAATATTTTAACATTTTAGAAATCACACACTACAGCCTTATATATTAATATAAATGTTTTGCCTAATCATGATTATATTAAGTTATCTATTTATTATATTATGCAAAATACATATTTTTACCTTTCAATGATGCCATTGGGCTGAAGAGGCATGTCCCACTCCACCAGAGCTGAGCGGGAGGTAAGGGCGATTAGATGTGGCAGGGGCTGCTGGGCAGGGGCAGAGGCCTGGGTGCGGAGCTCATTTAAGGGACCTCGGCTGCAGCACAGGAAACAGGTGCAGGCCTCCACACCTACAGAATACACAGTGAAGGGCCTAAGACCGTGGAGAGTTTGCTGGTGGGACATCCCCTCAGACAGCTGCAGACACAGATATGAAAGCGTTAGTTCCAGTTTTGTACTATAAATTCTAATAATCTAAATCCTCAGTTGCTTATATGTAGTTGGTATATGTATATGTAAGAATACATATATTGTACTTGATTTACCAGCTGGTATGAGTCTTTGTTTTGTGCAAAGACTCTGTAGAGGCTGACAATGCCATTTGGCTTGGTGGGTGGGCTGATATCCACCACAGCTGAGGTGGCGTGGATGTGCAAGAATTTAGGCGGGCTCAACCCCGCTGGAGGAGCTGGACCTGTGCGACCTTGAGCCCAGGGGCTACCAGCACGACCTGCTGAGTTTACAGCCCACACCTAGATGGTCAAAATTAAACAACACACGAAATCAGGTATTTAATTACATGTATGTATGTATGTATGTATGTATGTATGTGTATATATCCCAATCAAACACACCTGAACCAGCTAATCAAGCTCTTACTAGGCATACTAGAAACTTAAAGGCAGGTGTGTTGAGACAAGTTGGAGCTAAACTCTGCAGGACACCGGCCCTCCAGGACCGAGTTTGGACACCCCTGATGTAGTAGAAATGTGTTTCCATTTTTTGTTTTTTAATCAGTGCTATATGAAAAAAGAAAACAGAGAAAAGGGGGCTTTGGCATATTCCATTTTGCTAGAAACTTCAACACTCATAATGCACTTTTGATTTTGGCGTCACCCCTCTGTTGCTCTGTTGAGAGTACACATTGTTCATACTACTGACATAAAGCTGGCTGAAAAAAATATCCTTTAAATGTATTTCACAACAATTTTGCATTTTTGAGAGCTTCTTCTCTCATTTTTACTACTTGCTAGACCACAGCTCTAACATGTAGCATAATTTTTTCTGTGCTGTTTGAGTCACCCTACCTTTTTTTCGAGACCCACTGGTATAGATATGCACGAGAAAAGAAAGGAAATTTAGTGTGCAAAGCTACAGGTGAGTGTATCGAGACGCCTGTGGTCTCTCTCACACCTGCAGGGCCGATATAAGACCGGATCTGATACCGACACCAGCTCTGAAATGGCCCAACAGACAGAACAGAGACTCGGCACCATCCTCCTCTTAAAGAGGAGTCACCTTCACCTGATGAACCCACCGGGCGCCTTTTGCAAAAGGAAACTACCCATTCAACTACTTTGAGGAGTCAGTAGTCTTGCACCCTCGAAGTCCTGCTGTCATTAATAGCCAAAACATCAGCATCCATTACAGAATCACTCCGGCCTGAATCTACATGAAAATTAAATTTCACCTTCATCACGGAGTAAATGAACACATGGAAAGGTGAAGTAATCTTATTTACTAGACGAGCTGTTTGTATAATTACACAGAAAGAGTAGGAAAAGGTCAGCTGGGGTCGCTATTTGCATGAGTAAGTAATTTGCAGATTGTCAGTTATAATAGCAGCGGCAGATGGATGTTCCTGTGGATAGGGTTAAATTAGCCTCAATAATAGGCAATTACACCGTGATCAATCCAGATGATAGATCTAAGTGGCAATTCACATGGACTGCACGAGACACTGGCTGATTTCACATTCCCATACGAACCCATTCCACTGCCAAAGTGACGACTAGACGTGTCGAAGCGCAAAGAGGGAGACAGAGGTGTTGCAGGGTGACAGAAGAGAAAGAGGGCGGTCACGGAAACAACCTCTTGTCACCCAAAGTGAGAAAAGGTCACGTTGGCAGTAAGACAGGGAGGAAGAAAGAGTGACGGTTCGCTTGTGCCATAAAGCGGCGTTATGAATGAGTACAGGACAAAGAAATGTGATAACCTTAATTTTTCACTGATAAATCTTTCCGATTCCCGGATAGGAATTTTGAGAAAAGAGATATGGGCGCTTCGTTTTAAAGTGGAGTCAGCCAGGACATCTTCATGCCCTTGTATGCGGTGCAGACGTTTTATTGCCACCGAAGCACTTGCATACAGAGCTGTAATTAACGCGGGAAAATAAAACTATTTCATGAGCGAGCTCTAATGGATGTGGGTGTACACTGCTAGGACTGAATCTGCCCAGAGACAGGTCCTCATTGGCTGTGGCCACGCCCCCAGTCATGGACACGGGGCCAAGAGTTCCCTTTTCTGTTATGAGCACTAGGCTAATTAAGATTTGACATAAAAGTGTCAATAAAATATGTAGCCTCTTAACATGGGATGGGTTTGATTTCACAGGGACACATGCCCTTGTGTGAGAACGAGTAAAATGAAACACAACAAAAAGGGAGACTCCATGACATTAGGACAAAAACATTAAAGAAAGTGGTAGTCCTGACTCCCTCAAACACTGAACGGTAAACAAACAGCAATTTATACTGTTAAATAAGCAGACATAGACATAAGTTCAATGACGCATCCAGTATAGTTAGCAACCTCCCCGGGGAAAGCCAATAGGTATTAAAAGGTCTTTCCAACACTTGTACATTTGGGAGGCCTAACAACTAATTCAATGGCTTCGATCGTAATCGTCAGCATTCAGCCAGGCCCAGATTAATGGCCCTGTCGCTTGTCCATCATCACTCAGCTCCGCCAGCCAGCTGTCATAAATTACCGCTCATAAATAAGATGGAACAATCAGGCAAACTCTATCAATTTAGTCCTGATCAGCCCACGCCTCTCAGGCCTGACAGTCAAATGCTAATGTTATTTTGCTCCAAAGGCTAGGCTGTCAATTAAGAAAGGTCTCGTAAGGCGATGGCGGTGCGATGAATATAGTGAGTTAGATTAAACGCTTGTCTATGTGAATGAGAGAGTATAGATGAGCAGAACGTTAAACACAACAGCAACAAATAATCATGCTAATTAAAATATTCCTTGAGGACAAGTTTATATATCTCAGATTTAATCATGTTTATTTGCATGATTACGCTAAAATATTATGTATCATAAGAATAAAGTATGAAGTATCACAAAGTCTAGACGGATGATTTTATATTCAGGATGCATCATGCAATAGACAGACTTGCAGCAGTGTTTATATTGTTAACTAAAACTAAAACTATTAGAAAAAATTGTGTTAATTAAAATAACGCTGAAATAAAACAAATTACATAAATATTAGATGAAAAACTTAAAAATCTTAAATGAAAATTAGAAATGCTGTCTTGGCAACTAACAGAAATAAAACAGGTTTAAGTTACTAAAAAAGTACTAAAATGACAAACTATATAAATACTATAATCTAATATAAATCGTACACTGTAGTATTTATAATATTGTATAAATAACACTGACTTAAAGCGACAACCTAGCAACCATTCAGAACACCTTAGCAAATGTATGGCAACCCTCTGTCAAATATCCACAAGCTTACAGACAAGAGTCAAATTTTCTTGAGAAAATATAAAAAGTATGTTCATTCTTTGTGTAATATAACAATTTAGGAATAAAAAGTTAAAATCAAATTCACCAATGACAGATGAATTTTACATTCCTAATTTCAGAATCGACTGAGTGAAATGAGAAAAAGCGGTGTGACCTGGTATTCGTAGGATGTGTAGGGCAGGAGTTTGTCATCATGGCAGGAGGTTGAGGAGTTGCGGTAGACCAGTGTAGTTACAGATCGGCTTTCCTTGTCTAAAGCATGTTTTCGGTATAGCTCGTAGTGCAAAAGTTTCCCATTCGGCTCAGCTGGAGGAGACCAGGACAACAGAAAGACTGTCTGTATGCCCTTAGGGTTAGTTTGCAGCTCCAGCAGCGGGGCAGGTTGTCCAGCAGGAGGCGACTCAAGCGTCTGTATTGAAGACCAGTCACTAGCAGCGCAGCCTAACAGGGTGCAGGCCTCCACTCTTACCTCATACCTGCAAAAATACGCACACAAATAATAAAAATAAATATTAAATAAATCATTTCTAAAAATAAAGAATAACAATAGGTAAAAAAACATTGATAGGGCATATATGAAAATAAATAATACATTATGCCAAATATATAAATAATAACCAAACACTTTTTCCCCCCTCAAAATATCAATGTACAATGCTTTTTTACCTCAGTTTCATCAGTACCATTTTTTTATTGGATTTTGAATATTTAGGTATATAAACAATTTTTGTGCTTATCCTAGTAAAATGTGCTGTTATTTATCAACAGTATAGACAACGGACAGTTTTGTCCTTCAGAAGGTCACCAGCGATGGACTGAAGGAGAAAAGGGAGAGAAGAGAGGAGAGCAGGAGAATAAAGGGAAGGTCGTCTGAAAGAGGCAATGAGTGGCGAGTTGATAATGCTGATGAACCATTATCATCACCCCACTTATCTGGATTTTCACTTCAACATACGTATTTCCCTCGGTAGACCTCCTCATCTTCAATTTTGAGAATATACACCACAGTCTCACCATTCTGGATGGATGGAACAGACCATGACACATTGAGTGAATAGGAAGTGACATCAGACACCGTAGGCGGCTTTACGTTGGCAGGGGCGGCTTCTAATGTCCTGATCTGCGTCGGCTCACTGGTAACACACCCAGCCACGGTGCAGGCAATGACTGCGTAACTATAGAGAGTGTATGCAGTTAAATCCACATCAGTGTAGTTGAACACACTTGAGTCGAAGCTGAAATGGAAGCCAACGTTGTCACTCTGAATCCTGTAAGTCAGAAGAACACCATTGGGCTCCAAAGGAGGCGTCCAAGCTACGAAGACTTCATTAGGCTTGCCCTCTACATGACTGACAGCTGGAGGAGCCAATCCTCTAGGAGGAGCTTGTTTGGTTTGAACTGTGAGCCACGGGCTATTGGTATATCCTGCCGCGTTTGATACACGCACTCGAAACTTGTACCTGCTCCAGGGCAAAAGTCCAGACATATTATAGGAGAAGCTGTTAGCTTGGGTGTCGTTCTGGATGAACACAATCTTGGCTCTCATTGAGTCATCTTCATCACTCCGTACCCTGCCATCCTCTAGACTTACAGCCAGAACCTGGTACTGCAGGATCCTGCCGTTGGGGTGGGTGGGTGTATACCAGTGGAGCTCCACGCTGCGGGATTGGACCTGCTGTACCGTAGGAGCCGGTTGAGAGGACGGGGCGGCCTCCTCGGTGGTTACACGTTGAGGTGCAGTCCTTGTACAGCCCGCTTCGGTGCAAGCTTCGAGAACGAGCGTGTACACAGTGTAGGGTTCCAGACGGCGGAACAGGAATTGACGTGCAAGCCCGCTGAACTCCAAGTTTTCCTCATTGAAGATATTGTACATCTGTGGAAATAAATATGTTACATGATGGCAGATTCTGGAGAGTGATATTGCAATGTTACCATCATTGAGAGGAGCATACTTTGATGACTCCATTTGGAGAGGCTGGTTCAGCCCACTGTAGAAGCAGCGCTCGGCCATGTTCTCTCTTCTCCACGCTGAAGTTAGCCAGGCCACTTGGAGAGGCTTCAAGGGTCTGAACGGTGGTCCAAGGACTAGGCACCTGACCTGCTCCATTAACTGCTTCTACACGCACATTATATGTGGTGTATGGCTCCAACCCAAAGACATGAGCCTGAAAAATGTTACCCTACAACACAAAAGACACAAATATAGTTAGCATATACAGTGAGTATAGAAAAGCATCACCCCCCCTTTAAAATAATCACATTTTGTTGCTTTGCAGCCTGAAATGAAGATGGACAGAGTTTTTGTTTTATCCAGCTGTATTTACTCAGTGCAACTTATAACATCCAAGTGAAATATATAAGACCAACATGTCAGAAAAAAACAAAAACAGAATCACTGAGTTGGAAAAAGGATCACCCCTCTCCTAAAAATGACTTGTAAACTCAATCAGGTGTAGCTAATCACCTTCTCAACGGCACACAAAGCTATTTGACTTTCAACTATGATCAGCTGTGGTCATTTTGACCAGCTCAGCATGAAAAGAGCTTTTCTGTAGCATTTCAGTCCTTGGCAGTGCAACTGAAGCAAACAATCAACTATAGGTGGCAAGGCACTGTGGACAGGCACAACTTTATCCCAGTGATTATTTTCTATACTCACAGTACATAGCCATATTATCATTATTATTGATAAAATTAAGTAATTAACAAAAACAAACAACTTAATAATTATAGAAATTTTATTTTATTTATTATTATTATCTACAGCATACATTACGTAATGTATATATCAATAAATGCATTATATACATTTTTCATGAATGCAGTACTCATGAATAGATCAAGAATGCAAAGGTGGACAAAACAAAACAAAAGCTTTTAAATCACCATGAAAAGCCTAATATAAAACGATAATTAAATAAAGGAATGCAACACTGTCAGCATCCATGGCAAATGTTAGTTTTGTAAATAGATGTTTGCTTTTTTAACAGCAGAATTATTAATTCCTTGAAAATAAAATTTAATTTGACCAGAAAAAAAACAACACATAATTCTCACCATCAACAATAAAACTACAGACCCCTCTCTACTTTCCCTATGCAGATTTTTACACCCTCGTCCATTACATCGCTGGGAGGCACCAAAGCATTTAAAACACTACCTTTTTATGTGGTTGAAAAATTGAGAACATTTGGACTATAAACCAGCAAACATATGCACATTGTCAATAGGGACAGCTGTTTCATTTCACTTTATTTCAGCACAGAGACTTATATCCTGCCCCTAGATGGCAATGCTATCAAACACTTTCCTAAACACGGGCATCAAGACATTAACAAGCAGGCGCTCCCTCATCCAGGATACTCAAGGCAGCCATTAAAAAGCGACTAAGAGAATTGATTTTTGTTATAGATTTCCAAATAAATGTTTATGGCACAGATCCCTAAAATAGGAAGTGTTTAAGTTTTGATTAAGAGAATTGGTTATGCTGCCTTTTGGGATCCACCATACAATAAATTCTCAACATTACAGAATTACATTTCTTATTTCTTTCATTTCTTAGTCAAGTATTTAAATGATATAAAACACACACTTTAAATTCTAAATAATACAAACAATATATTAAGATCCACTGCATATAAACCTGAAAGTGTACACCTCTATGTGGAAGCCAAAAGCAGCCAGGCTTCTGGACAAAAGCACTGAATTCAGACTTGCTTTAACTGAGGCAGAAAGAGGCCTCGCTGTTTTAAACATTAAAGAGGTATCAGAGTCAGAAGCACATTTAGCGTTAGCTCAGGGAATCAGTCATTTGTAAAGAGGAAAGAAGTCTTTTAAAGCCCTTTTTCTTTCCTCTTTTTCTCTTTCAACTGAGCACAGGTCTCCCTTGTCTCATCAGCTGCTTACATATGTGTTATTTCCTGTGACAGCGCTGGGGGCTGCTTGGGCCAGGGGATGATTTTAATTAAGAATAACCATGTGGATTTGTCACAACAATTATGCTGATTAGATGAAAGTGGAGATTCCTGACCCTTCAAAGGTGTGGTACTGCTTCATTTGCATACAGTAGACATACTGTCCCGGCCTGCCACTGTTGACTTCAGCCTGAGCTGGATTTTATTAGTATCACGCTAAACAGCTACAGGGCCCGGGAAATGCCTCATCAAAAAGCATCAAATGGAGCCTTTGGTCATGTTTTAAGTAACCTACACTCAAACTCTGTCAGAAATGTATGAAAATTTTAGGCAGATAAAATGATGCACTGATGGATTTTGTTGTAAGCATTATCATTGATCTGTGAATATCCCCGAATGTCTAACATTTATTTTTCATACACACAAAGATGCTTGAATAAAATGCAAATTCTTCTCTACACACTGACATTTTATAACAAACTGAAGGAAATATATTCATGATGCACATTCCCTGTGCTATTCACAGGCTGTCCATCCAAAAATTACAAATCTGTCTTCTGTGGAATACAAAAGGAGATATTTTTAAGAATGTTTCAAATTTTGTCCACACATCGAAAGTCAATGGGATCCAAAACAACATTAAACCCCACTGATTTTCATTAAATGGACAAATGTAAAAAAGTCAATTTATCTTTTGTGTTATGCAGAATAAAGAAAGTCATACAGTAAATTATGAGGCGAATTTTTGGTGAACTATCCCTTTAATACTAAAACCGCCCCATTGCTCTCATTCCTACCAGCACTTTAGTTTAACTGTCTAAAGTCTACAGACTTTAGTGCATTTCAAAGCATCTTCGCTTTTGTTCTGCAGTACTAACAAGGTAGACCTCCTCATCTTCAATTTTGAGAATATACACCACAGTCTCACCATTCTGGATGGATGGAACAGACCATGACACATTGAGTGAATAGGAAGTGACATCAGACACCGTAGGCGGCTTTACGTTGGCAGGGGCGGCTTCTAATGTCCTGATCTGCGTCGGCTCACTGGTAACACACCCAGCCACGGTGCAGGCAATGACTGCGTAACTATAGAGAGTGTATGCAGTTAAATCCACATCAGTGTAGTTGAACACACTTGAGTCGAAGCTGAAATGGAAGCCAACGTTGTCACTCTGAATCCTGTAAGTCAGAAGAACACCATTGGGCTCCAAAGGAGGCGTCCAAGCTACGAAGACTTCATTAGGCTTGCCCTCTACATGACTGACAGCTGGAGGAGCCAATCCTCTAGGAGGAGCTTGTTTGGTTTGAACTGTGAGCCACGGGCTATTGGTATATCCTGCCGCGTTTGATACACGCACTCGAAACTTGTACCTGCTCCAGGGCAAAAGTCCAGACATATTATAGGAGAAGCTGTTAGCTTGGGTGTCGTTCTGGATGAACACAATCTTGGCTCTCATCGCGTCATCTTCATCACTCCGTACCCTGCCATCCTCTAGACTTACAGCCAGAACCTGGTACTGCAGGATCCTGCCGTTGGGGTGGGTGGGTGTATACCAGTGGAGCTCCACGCTGCGGGATTGGACCTGCTGTACCGTAGGAGCCGGTTGAGAGGACGGGGCGGCCTCCTCGGTGGTTACACGTTGAGGTGCAGTCCTTGTACAGCCCGCTTCGGTGCAAGCTTCGAGAACGAGCGTGTACACAGTGTAGGGTTCCAGACGGCGGAACAGGAATTGACGTGCAAGCCCGCTGAACTCCAAGTTTTCCTCATTGAAGATATTGTACATCTGTGGAAATAAATATGTTACATGATGGCAGATTCTGGAGAGTGATATTGCAATGTTACCATCATTGAGAGGAGCATACTTTGATGACTCCATTTGGAGAGGCTGGTTCAGCCCACTGTAGAAGCAGCGCTCGGCCATGTTCTCTCTTCTCCACGCTGAAGTTAGCCAGGCCACTTGGAGAGGCTTCAAGGGTCTGAACGGTGGTCCAAGGACTAGGCACCTGACCTGCTCCATTAACTGCTTCTACACGCACATTATATGTGGTGTATGGCTCCAACCCAAAGACATGAGCCTGAAAAATGTTACCCTACAACACAAAAGACACAAATATAGTTAGCATATACAGTGAGTATAGAAAAGCATCACCCCCCCTTTAAAATAATCACATTTTGTTGCTTTGCAGCCTGAAATGAAGATGGACAGAGTTTTTGTTTTATCCAGCTGTATTTACTCAGTGCAACTTATAACATCCAAGTGAAATATATAAGACCAACATGTCAGAAAAAAACAAAAACAGAATCACTGAGTTGGAAAAAGGATCACCCCTCTCCTAAAAATGACTTGTAAACTCAATCAGGTGTAGCTAATCACCTTCTCAACGGCACACAAAGCTATTTGACTTTCAACTATGATCAGCTGTGGTCATTTTGACCAGCTCAGCATGAAAAGAGCTTTTCTGTAGCATTTCAGTCCTTGGCAGTGCAACTGAAGCAAACAATCAACTATAGGTGGCAAGGCACTGTGGACAGGCACAACTTTATCCCAGTGATTATTTTCTATACTCACAGTACATAGCCATATTATCATTATTATTGATAAAATTAAGTAATTAACAAAAACAAACAACTTAATAATTATAGAAATTTTATTTTATTTATTATTATTATCTACAGCATACATTACGTAATGTATATATCAATAAATGCATTATATACATTTTTCATGAATGCAGTACTCATGAATAGATCAAGAATGCAAAGGTGGACAAAACAAAACAAAAGCTTTTAAATCACCATGAAAAGCCTAATATAAAACGATAATTAAATAAAGGAATGCAACACTGTCAGCATCCATGGCAAATGTTAGTTTTGTAAATAGATGTTTGCTTTTTTAACAGCAGAATTATTAATTCCTTGAAAATAAAATTTAATTTGACCAGAAAAAAAACAACACATAATTCTCACCATCAACAATAAAACTACAGACCCCTCTCTACTTTCCCTATGCAGATTTTTACACCCTCGTCCATTACATCGCTGGGAGGCACCAAAGCATTTAAAACACTACCTTTTTATGTGGTTGAAAAATTGAGAACATTTGGACTATAAACCAGCAAACATATGCACATTGTCAATAGGGACAGCTGTTTCATTTCACTTTATTTCAGCACAGAGACTTATATCCTGCCCCTAGATGGCAATGCTATCAAACACTTTCCTAAACACGGGCATCAAGACATTAACAAGCAGGCGCTCCCTCATCCAGGATACTCAAGGCAGCCATTAAAAAGCGACTAAGAGAATTGATTTTTGTTATAGATTTCCAAATAAATGTTTATGGCACAGATCCCTAAAATAGGAAGTGTTTAAGTTTTGATTAAGAGAATTGGTTATGCTGCCTTTTGGGATCCACCATACAATAAATTCTCAACATTACAGAATTACATTTCTTATTTCTTTCATTTCTTAGTCAAGTATTTAAATGATATAAAACACACACTTTAAATTCTAAATAATACAAACAATATATTAAGATCCACTGCATATAAACCTGAAAGTGTACACCTCTATGTGGAAGCCAAAAGCAGCCAGGCTTCTGGACAAAAGCACTGAATTCAGACTTGCTTTAACTGAGGCAGAAAGAGGCCTCGCTGTTTTAAACATTAAAGAGGTATCAGAGTCAGAAGCACATTTAGCGTTAGCTCAGGGAATCAGTCATTTGTAAAGAGGAAAGAAGTCTTTTAAAGCCCTTTTTCTTTCCTCTTTTTCTCTTTCAACTGAGCACAGGTCTCCCTTGTCTCATCAGCTGCTTACATATGTGTTATTTCCTGTGACAGCGCTGGGGGCTGCTTGGGCCAGGGGATGATTTTAATTAAGAATAACCATGTGGATTTGTCACAACAATTATGCTGATTAGATGAAAGTGGAGATTCCTGACCCTTCAAAGGTGTGGTACTGCTTCATTTGCATACAGTAGACATACTGTCCCGGCCTGCCACTGTTGACTTCAGCCTGAGCTGGATTTTATTAGTATCACGCTAAACAGCTACAGGGCCCGGGAAATGCCTCATCAAAAAGCATCAAATGGAGCCTTTGGTCATGTTTTAAGTAACCTACACTCAAACTCTGTCAGAAATGTATGAAAATTTTAGGCAGATAAAATGATGCACTGATGGATTTTGTTGTAAGCATTATCATTGATCTGTGAATATCCCCGAATGTCTAACATTTATTTTTCATACACACAAAGATGCTTGAATAAAATGCAAATTCTTCTCTACACACTGACATTTTATAACAAACTGAAGGAAATATATTCATGATGCACATTCCCTGTGCTATTCACAGGCTGTCCATCCAAAAATTACAAATCTGTCTTCTGTGGAATACAAAAGGAGATATTTTTAAGAATGTTTCAAATTTTGTCCACACATCGAAAGTCAATGGGATCCAAAACAACATTAAACCCCACTGATTTTCATTAAATGGACAAATGTAAAAAAGTCAATTTATCTTTTGTGTTATGCAGAATAAAGAAAGTCATACAGTAAATTATGAGGCGAATTTTTGGTGAACTATCCCTTTAATACTAAAACCGCCCCATTGCTCTCATTCCTACCAGCACTTTAGTTTAACTGTCTAAAGTCTACAGACTTTAGTGCATTTCAAAGCATCTTCGCTTTTGTTCTGCAGTACTAACAACTGACAACCAGTTCCTGAGATGCCTTGACATTATTAATTATTTGTGGTTTAGATGTAAAGTCCTGTTCAAGCCAAGCCTCAATCAGATGGAGGGCTCTTGAATCACTGAGCTGTTCTTCAGACTGGGCTGGTGTCTGGTGAAGGAAACCCCTCATGCATGAAAACGCACACATACAGAAACAGAGGAAAGTACCGTTTACCTCCTCTGAATGAGGCTGAGTATGTATGACAATCAGGACTGTGAATGATGGAAGCTGTTTTCAGAAAATAAAAGCACACACAGTCAAGTGCGCCACTAACTTTAGCTCTTTAAATAAGAAATGAGATTTAACAGGCTCTCTCAGTGTTTACTTAGTACTACAATCCGAAAGCAGATTCTAGACAATATAATAGCAGACTAAAGCTTTTTCAGTGTACCGTTTGGCCAACTGTCCATATAATATTTTCTATATTATAGAATAAAATAAATAATAATTATTTAAAAATAAAATGTATATTATGTAAAAATATTATATTATATAAATATATTATTCAAATATTTGTATATATTATATAAAAAGTTTAAGTGACACCTATAAACATTTTTGAATCTTTAAGTTACACAAATAAAATGTGTCACCAGCCTGGTCTGAAACTATGAATGAGATTAAAGTTTGTGAAAGCTCAGAGGAATCCACTATCAAAATCCACAGACTGTCGGGAGCTCCCCTCTGTGTGTCCTTTCAGCAAATGAGCGCGGGTTCAACTAGGGCCCAAACGAGCTGCTCGCGGTTCTGCTCGGATCATTCTGCTCCACTTCAACAGTGTGTATACGAGTCTACAAAAAAGACATGGTCCAACGCGCCGTCATCATGTTTATGCACTCTTCACTGTGTTCTTAATGATAAACTAACAGATTGTAAACATGTTGCTGGAGTTTCAACCCCCCCTCATTTTTTTTCCTGTGCATTTTTTAAACAATGTCCTTCATGTTAGAGTGGTTACAGGCAGCAGAAGGACATCATTAGAGCCATGGTTAAACTGTAATTTACACCATTAGGAAGGCAGGAGCAATTTTTATTGCCTAGTAAATTTCAGCTCTGAAATATTTGGACCATATGGCTCAATTTGTGTAATAACCTTAATTTCTTGCACCCTTCAGGTCCGCCTGCATCTCTGCTTGCCACTCCAACAGAGTCAGGCTTCTGTGCGCAAAAGTTCGGTAATGAGGGGCGTCTGCACACATGGTGAGGGAGGAAGCTTTTGGCGGCTCAGACCACCTGTGCTCCGTAGCCTCATTCAGTCCCACTGCCATGACGTCCACATTAATCATACGCACTGGCATGAGGTACGGCCCACTGCACAGCCAGGGATCAATAGCAGCCCCACCCACCCATCCAAAAAAAAAAAAAAAAGGGGGG